CCAACTCTTGATTTCAGCTTAGGTCATGATCTCAAGGTTATGAGGTGGAGTCTTGCATCAGGCTCCACACTTAGCATGGAGTCTGCTTGTCCCTCTCTTCTGCTTCTTCTCTCTTTCTCTCAAATAAATACATAAATGAAATCTTTTTTTAAAAATGTGTCTTTAGGCCAGTGCCACATTGTCCTAATTATTATATCTGGCTAGAAAACTTTAAAATGAGTGTCAGTTCTCCAGTTTTATTCCTTTTAAATATTATTTTGTCTGTTCTGGGTCCCTTGCATTTCCATATGAATTTCAGGATCAACTTGTCATTTTTAGCAAAAAACAAAAAGCTGAAATTTTTATATAGACCATGTTGAATATGTAAATCAGTTTCTAAATTATTCCCACTTTAGCATTAAATCTTGTAATCAATGAACATAGAGTGTCTTTCCGTTTATTTAGCTCTTCTTTAATATCTTTCAGTAACATTTTATAGTTTTTGGTGTAGAAATCTTGCACATCTTCTGTGAAGGTTATCCCTAAGTATTCTTTGCCATTCTTTGAAAGGACTTCCAATGCATTGCTAAATAGAAGTACCAAGAGTGGACATCCGTGTCTTCTTCCTGATTTTAGGGGGAAAGCATTAAAGTATTTCACCATTAAGTCTGATGTTAGCTGTGGGTTTTTTGTAAGTGCTGTTTATCAGGTGGAGGAAGTTCCCTTGTATTCTTTGTTGAGTGTTTTTATCATGAAAGGGTGTAAAATTTTGTCAAATACTCTCCCTGAACCTATTAAAATGATCTTGGGGTTTTTGTTTTTTTATATAGATTACATTGATTTGTTTTTACATGTCAAACTAACCTTGAATTCCTGGGATAAATCTTATTTGATCATGGTATATAATCTTTTTTATATGTCGCTGGGTTAGGTTGCTACTATTTTGTTAGTTTTGTGTGCATATTCATACATAAGATAGCATTGTTTCTAACAGTAAAAGATTTGAAACAACTTAAGTGTACCTCAGCAAGTGAGTAATTATGTAAGCTACAATTTAAATGAAAAATTAAATAGACCTACACACACTCACATGGATAGATCTCCCAAGATATGTTACAAAAAGTATAATATAGTACACTGTGACTAAATATAATATTTCCCCTAATGCATATATAAAACATGGACAAATATAAATATTCTTAGTTTAGTTTTCATGGATATGTGTATATAAATAAAATATAGGAATGAATATACACCAGACCAATAGTGGCAGTTTTCACAGGGAGTGGAGTGGGATTAAGAGGACTTGAAATTTACCTATATTATAAAATTCTTAGAAGAAAACATACATGTATATTTGTATAATTTAAAATACATAAGATTTTACAAAAATAAAAATAAATTCACGGATACACATAAGCCTGTGTCCTAACAGTTAAAAGTCATGCTAGCTGATGACACTCTCCTGTTCTTCCTTATTGCTCAAACCTACTACAAGCAGCTGGTACAATTAGAATTTGTATCACTAAAAATTAGTAATTTGGAAAGAAAATCAGAACAGGATCCATCACTGCACTAGGAAAGAGATAAAAAGACAATACCAGCAAAACGTTGCCAGGGAGAAGGTGAAAATCGTGACCAAATGTTACTGCCATAAATTCCAAAAACTGGTTAAACAATAGCCTTAATAAAACAAGAACTCATAGCTAAGATAAAAGAACTCAGTGAAGATCTAGTGAAGCAACAGAGAGAGATGAAATGTGATTTGGTAGAGCTATGGAAAGATGTCAAGGATGAACATGAATCCATCACAGAAACCAAGTCCACATGGAAACAAAGGATAGTACCATTCCTGAGAATACAAAAAGGAACATGGAGGACAAGACTGACAAAAATGAGCGGAGCAAAATGGAAACGAACAAAGAATCCACAGGGTAAGAGATCAAACAAACACCATGGCAGAAAATCGGGCATAATTTGGTGTCCCCAAAAAAAAGAAAACCAAACAAATCAGAAAAATAGATATTTAAGTACGGTAATAATATAGTGTCATATCCCAGGAAAAAATTCTACTAAACTCTGATTAGCCTAATAGTTACCAGATTTTAAAGGTAAGACTCTTATAAGCATTCAATCTAGATTTTAGGTAATCTAATAAAAACATCAGATTGGCCTCAGTCTTTTCCTCACTGATATTCAGTGGAGCAACTCATAATAGGGGGCTTAGAGGAAGAAAGTGTGATCTAAGAATTTTATACCCGTCAAACTGACATTCGAGTATAAGAACAACAAATGATAATTTTTACTGTATTGCATTTCAGAAAATGTAATTCCCAAAAGCCCATCTCAAAGAGCACAAACTTGAGGCAAGTAAGAATTCGTTGAAGAAACTGGCAGAGGGACACACAATGAACACTAAATTAAGTTAGGACTGAGACTAAAACAAATGCATGAATTATTTTAGCAAAAGATAAATGTTACAAATAGATACAGTGTAGGATTCATATAATAAAAGTTGAAAGTAAGATGTAAGGAAGTGAAGCACAGTGTAATTATGCTGATTTCCTCATCTTTTACTATCCAGGGATTAAAATACTTCACTTACCAGCTGACAAACCATATAATAGAAACGTAAATACAAAAAGGTTAACAGAAAAATATCAGAATAAAAAAGAAATAACAGTTGGCTAAAATGTATTGGTGAAGGAAAGACAAAGTAAGATACTGACCCACCCGCCATGTTAGCCATGAGCAGTGTGATTACAGTTCAAATGCCCTGAGGTCTTCAGATTGTTTGGAAAAAAAAATTATGATGATTTCAGCAAAGCTTCAGTATCTCTTCATAACAAAAGCTTCAATATCTCTTCATAACAAAATCTCTTAACTAGGATGAAAGGGAACTTCCTTAACCTGATGTTTGATATCAGTCACCTTAACACAACAGACATCATTTTCAGTGGGAAAACTTTGGAGGCATTCTTGGGAACATCATGAATAAGGCAAAGATGCCACAGTCTCTTGTTGCACACAACATGGTTTTGTAAGTTCCCACAACAATGGTGAAGGAGAAGAAATTAAAGCTGTAATGATTAGAACGGAAGAAACAAAACCGTCATAGGAGCACATGTTTCAGTTAGCTTTATAGGAACCCGGCCAAAATAAACACATTATTATAAATAATAAAAGTGTTAGAAAGGTAGCTAAGTATAGGGTATATCTTATGAGAGACACATCCTTTTTACTATAATCTTTTGTAACTTGAATTTTGTACCTTGGGCACATACTGCCTAGCAAAACTCTATTTTAAAGTTGTCCCCGATCTTTTAAAACTCTATACAATATCCTATTCATGTAAAATGATGTATGTATTTTTATATGCATTATTAGATGCCGAAAAGGCTAGTCACCAAAATTTTACTTTTTTAGGGGGTGATTTCTGTAGTGCAGTGCGTTCATTCTGGGTTTTTTTTTTCCTTCTGTGGTTTGAATTATCATGAACTATTTTTATAGTAAAAATAAGGCTAGTTTTACTGTGAGAAAATGAGGAAATAAACCAAACTCTCAAAAATAGGTATTTCCGTAATCTCTACGTAGTTGGGCTTGAAATCTTTCCTTTTTAATGCTCCCCTGCGGACTCTGATGATCACATTTAGGAACCACGGGAAGGTTTCATAATCTAATTTGGGACCCTCATCTAAATTGCTGAAGCAAACACACATAATCCTTGTCTAAAACCCAAATGAAAATCAAAACAAAATGATCACCAGCCTGTGTTTCAAAATCACACCATAGGGCTGGGCTCATTTAGTGACCGGTTAACCAGGCAGCAGCCAGGGCCTGACCTCCTGCCCGGCAGCCTCGGCCCTACCCTCCTTGAATCTTCATTATCCCCCACTGTCTGGGCACATACGGGGTCAGAGGATGGGCAGAGGAAGGCCCCCCCGTTATAGTTGGAAATACTCAAGGAGACAGACAAAAGACTGCACTGGGAGAGTTACAGAGATGCCCAGAGGTCAGCAGAAGCAGGAAATGGCCAACAGTGTGTTAAGGAGTGGTATTGCCACTGGGCAAGGAGCTTAGCTTCTGCTATCATTCCAGGGATTGAGGGACAGCTCAGAGTACAGTAAAGCCCAAAGGAACCTCCAGCAGATGGAGTGGCCAGGGGCAGGCTGCCTCTGTGCTCCAGGGAGGGGCTGTTCCTGCAGGATTCCAAGCTGTCTCAGTCTGCTAGGGCCCCCGTCACTAAGTACCATGGTCCCCAAGTACCACAAACTGACTGGCATGAACAACAGACTGTTGCTGTCCCATGGCTCTGGGAGCTACGAGGCCAAGATCAAGGTGTGGGCAGGGTTGCTTCCTTTGGAATGCTGGAAGGAAGAATCTGCTTCATGCATCTCCCCTAGCCTCCAGTGGCTTGCTGGGTGTCTTGGGTGTTGCTTTGCTTGTAGAAGCATCTTGAGCAGGGAGCCCAATGCGGGGCTTGATCCCAGGACCCTGGGATTGTGACCTGAGCTGAAGCAGAGGCTTAACAACAAGCCACTCAGGCGCCCCCTAGAAGCATCGCCCCGATCTCTGCTTCCTGCTTCCATGGAGTTCTGTGTACCTGTCTGCATCCGAACTCCCCCTTTGTAGATGATGCAGTGCCCATTCTATTCCAGCGGGATCTCATTTTAAGGAATCACATCTGCAAAGACCCATTTTCCAAATCAGGTCACACGGTGAGGTAGTGGGGATTAGGACTTCAACATAAGAATGGGGGTGGGTGGGGGGAGACGCAGTTCGCAGTTCAACTCTCCGTACACACAAATGGTTCTTTCTGGAATTTGGGCAGCCCAGAGGTTCTGGCCATAGAAGAATGCTCCGTGTTAGCTGACTTGATTTTTTAGAGCCAGACCAGCAGCAGGCTCTGAAATCATGGGGGGGCGGGGGAGGGTTAGGTGGATTTTGTGGGGGAGGGTTCTACGTGCGCCTCTGATGGGGGTTGGAGGCGTACTTCACCTTCCTGTTATCTGCCACCACAGGTTATATTGAAGCTACCATCATTCCAGTGGGAGCCCGGAGGATTCGCGTGGTGGAGGATAAACCCGCCCACAGTTTTCTGGGTAAAACAAAAAGAATCTAACTCATGATTTATGTTCTGAGATTTGGATCATCGTGCTGATTATGTGGTCCACCATCATTGTCCCAGGCTGTGGGTGTTACATTCATATCCGAGGTCTAACGATAGAAGTAATCACAGTGGACCACGTGATGCCATCCTAGTTGGCTGAAGTGCAGCCACCCCCAAGTGGATGGGGCAGGGGAGAGGGGATCAGTAGGAAGGAAACGAGGAATTGGGATCACAAAAGTCCCCCAAAGTCACCCCAGGAGAACCCAGAGCAGCCTTTGCCTACATAGCATGGGCACATTGCCTAGCTATTGATAGCTCTGGGGATGGTTTCGTAGCTGGGAAAAAAGAGTAATAGCCCTAGAGCTAATGGAACCACAAAAGAACACTGGTTTTCACTAAGTTCTGTGTACCCCAAATTCCTTCTGGCCAACTCTATTGACTTCGGGCACAAATGCCTATGTCTTTCTGTCAAAGGATGGGGTTCCATTCCAGGTTGGTCTTCACTGCCTTCAGCAGAACCATACTTCAGGCCCTAAGAATTGTTCAGTTGAACCCCTTCTCAGGCATTGAAATCTCTCTTGGTGTATCCTAAGCTTAACAGCCAGCCTTTCCATTGGTCCTTGCAAGTATCTGCCTGGTACTTGAGTACTTGTGGGTTGAGTCCTACGTGTTCTTTATGCTGTTATGGGAGCAAAAGGGATGCTTAGCCTTCCTCCTGTATTTCTATCTTGGGTTGGATTTCAGACTGGAGGTGGCTGATCTCCTACCCAGGTACCCTTCTCCTGGGCTTCCTTCTGTTACTATCTCCTCAGTCTGTGTTGCAAGGTTCTGTTTGAGATTGACAAGAATATACAAGACACGATCTCTCTCTCACTCTCTCTTTCTCTTTCTCTCTGGCTTCAAACTTAAGAATTAAGTTGTTTTAGCTGAAACAGTTATTCATGAAATGCTTTCATTTAAACTTTTATCACTGACTTTAAAAAAAAAAAAATTGTATCTTGGTCCACGTTCCTGCCTTTGTAGATACAGAAGGATCTAAGTCTTTCTTTGAAATAGTCCCTACCTGAGAAACTGAAAGTCTGGGACACCTGGGTAGCTATCAGTTAAGTGTCTGCCTTCCACTCAGGTCATGATCCCAGGGTCCTGGGATCGAGTCCCACATCAGGCTTCCTGCTCAGGGGGGAGTCTGCTTCTCCCTCCCCTCTCCCCCTGCTCGTGCCCACAGGTGCTCCTTCTTTCTCTCTCTCTCAAATAAATAAAATCGTTTTTAAAAAACAAAGTCTGATTAGACAGACATAAAACAAACCTATAGTAGGCAAGTTTACAATGAAGACCACCATCCTATAAGAACCACTTGCAGGGGCACCTGGGTGGCTCAGTGGGTTAAAGCCTCTGCCTTCGGCTCAGGTCATGATCCCAGGGTCCTGGGATCTAGCCCTGCATCGGTCTCTCTGCCCAGCAGGGAGCCTGCTTCCTTTCCTCTCTTCTCTGCCTGCCTCTCAGCCTACTTGTGATCTCTGTCTGTCAAATAAATAAATAAATAAATAAATAAATAAATAAATATTTTTTTTTAAAAAGAGCCTCTTGCAAACACCAAGTTAATCCTCATGCACATGCAGGAGTGGGGCCAGGAGCTCTTGTTCCTGAGTGCCCACACCAGGGCTCACCAGCCAGCAACCTCCTGGGGTCCCTACTGTGTCCCAGGCAACCCTGTCCCCTCTTCTGCAGCTTTCACTTCTGCCATCTGCTCCATCTCCTTGAGGCCACTGCTGCTCCTGCTTCCAGGGTAGGACCTTACCATCCCTTAGGGTGACACCCACATGGGTCTCATCAGCCCCTGTGGCTTTGCGACCCTCCCAGCATGGCCACTCTCCCAGTCTAGCCTGGCACCCTTCTCTGCAATTGCCCCAGCTGTCCCTGCAGATAGAATGATGCTTATGCACACTTTTAAGGTAGCCTTGTGCTGCTCTTGGCAGTTCCAGCAGACCCGGGGCCTTTTTTACTAAATTCCCAAAGAGCCCACCCCCTCCTCACCAGCATTTGCTTTGGAAGCCCAATCGCCTAGTGTCACCCTTTCCAGCTGGTACATCAGCCCTCGCCTACCTGGAAGAATTTCTGCCCCTTGGGGGGCACCAGGCCTTGGAGGATGGCAGACATTGCCTTTGACCTGATCTCAGTATCCCAGAAGCAAGCCCCATTCCTCGGTCAGTGGCGTGGTTCTTCCATCAAAGCAGCAGCAAGCAAGGCCCTCGGCTTCTGGTCCTGGCTTCCGAGACTTCCCAGCACCATTCCAGCCCCTGACCCAGCCCCAGATGTCCCTCGAAAGTAGGAACGTTATCTGTACTTTCCTGCAACAAGATAAGAAGGACAGAAGGGTGTCAGAATCCTTTGGATTACTCAACTTAGTAAAAATGAACTTCTCCCCGGAGCCTGTGTTAGGGCCATCTAACTAGTGAGTGCTGCCAGTGGTGGGGACTAGCTCTCCGGTTGGTTCCTCTCAGCTCCTGGAGTCGGCGGGCCACGTGTGGGGATGACACGAACATCAACGTTTGGGGTTCCCAGGCATTGAGCCCTGCCCTGTTCTGAAGACCTGATTCCTCACCGCCCCAAAGGCACTGGAAAATATTGCTTTGCCTCTTTCACTGAGGACAAGACGGAGACTCCAAGGGTTCATTCAGGAGCCTGTGCATCCTCCTCATTTCCTCTGGGGCTGTGGCCGTTTATAAGCCTCCTCGAATCACCCTGATGTGTCCAGTCATCACCAGACATCAGCGGGGGCAGGGGAGGGAGCATCTTTACCCAGAGAACATGTGTTACACTCGCACATTGCTTTTCCTTCTTTGTGTGGACCTCGAGGTGGCAAACCTCCATCCCAAGGAGACGGGTTCCATGTCTCAGAACAACATCCCCCGAAGCGCTGGACCTCCAAGGGAGCTTAGAGCCAGCTTTGGTCTTCTTATCTTATTCCTATGCTTTTAAATCCCAGGAGTCCAGGGCTGGGTGTGGGGGTGAGGGCAAATCTGAAGGTCGTCCACGCTCCTGATGTTTCTAAAATTAGTTCAAACAAGCCCTGTTTCCACTCGGGGCTGGGTGCTTTGGAAGTCAACCCAGTGTAACTCTGAATGACTCTCACATTTGCCGGGAGCCGTTCCTGCAGAATTACGCCCCACCTACCTTCAGCCCACGCTGCCTGGCTCTCTGCAGCAAGGCACCTGGCACAGGAAATGCCTCTGCAGTTTGTGTCCACAGCTGAGAACAGAGCTGGCAGAGCTCCGAGTGGAAATACAAGGAACTGACGGGATGCCAGGATTAGAAGTAGGTTGACTGCGGGTCAAGTCTTCCAGTGGAATCCAAGAGGGAGAAAGACAGAAAGAAGCCCAGCTTCTGCACAGCTCCTCACAAGAGGAGGGCCTGCGGATGGAGGACCTCTTTAATGTGCCTCCAGCCAGCTGTAAGGAGCTGTTCCGCTCTCCCCCACCCCCAGCTCCCCAAAATGGCTCAGGATCTTTTCCCACAGTGCCTAGATGTCCAAGGACAATGTGTAGTGGTCCACAGGGAGAAAGAGGGCCCCCGGAGAGAAATGGACATTTGCCATCAGACCTCATGTTCTGGGCCTTTCCTTAATGGAATGGTTTTGTTCTGCCACAGTAGCAAGAGAGAACTTGTTTGTGCCCATCTTCATCACTCCAGAAGTCTCTCCAGCTGCTGAGCGTCTCCTCATGGCTTCTAACCCAAATACATGGAAGCAAGCACTGCTCTGTTTTGGATGGTGGCTTAAAACATCCAACCTCTGGCCCAGACAGAACCAGCAAAGCAAAAAATTGTCCTCGCCTGCAAATCCAGACTTCAGACAACACAGATCAAATCAAGTCGCTGAAGATTTCCCTTTGTTCCCCACTTTGTTATTTGCCTGTCAAATCAAAGCATGTGCAATCCTTTTAATAGCCCCCGTTTGAACTTCTGGACCTAAAAATCTTAATTTCAATGCAGGCTAACCTCAACCTGCTTACAGACACAGGGAGGTTTGGCTAGACCCTTGATGCCACAGGAATGAGAAGGACGGGAACTTGTAGGGCCCGAAACTTAACTCTGGGGCCTTCTTTCAGAAAACGAATGCAGCATTATGTCCAAGGCCTTGGAAAGTACTCCTACAAGGGGTCTGGGCACTCCTGCCCCACCGGCTCTCAAACACCCCGTGGAGGGGAAACTTGCCTGGGGTGGAGGCTAATGCCAGTGGGCTAGGGGATGATCAGCGTTCCCACTGGCTGGAGCTGACCCAGCCCCACGACATAGGTTTCCCATCAGACTCCACACCATACCCGTGTATTTGCTATTAATAACGATCTTGATGTTCACAGATTCTCTGAGGCTGCTGTTCCACCCTTCTGAAGGACTCGCAGGTGCTAAATTCCCATCTTAACGGGAAGTCCCAGTGTCACCAGTGGACCCCAGCACATTGCAAATTTGTGACTGTTGCTGACTACATTCCTCACCGAGTCAATAGGTTAGAAGTGATCACCTTGCTTCTCGGCATTGCTGAGCCCCGATGTTGAACCCTGTGTTTTCCCTCCCATTGCAAAATTCATCAAGGACGGACATCACCATCGAACTGTCCTGAGGAAGGGGTGCCAAGTGGACATCATCAAGCCATGTTGGAGGCACCCGGCTGGCTCAGTGGGTAGAGCATGCAACTCTTGATCTCAGGATTGTGAGTTCAAGCCCCATGCTGGGTATAGAGACGACTTGAAAGCCGTGTTTGCAGTGCCTAGAAGCTGTCGTGAAGGTGGCCGTACTCAGAGTTTATTCTTTCTAGGGCCCTGTGGACCCGCCCACACCCCCAGAACTGTGATAGAGTGAGCAGCTCCAGCCCAGCCCCTCCAAAGCAAAGCCAGGAGCTTTCCGAACTCATGGTGGGGCACCACAGCAGCCACATGTGGCTTGGAGGAGCTCTGCTTTCACCATGGTCACAGAGACTGCTTGAAATCTGCCCTGCTTGGGGGGTTGCATTTACAGGTCCTGTAAATCTAGGCTGCTTTCCCCAGCGAGCTGGATACCAGTGCTGCACCATCTGACGCGTTCTTCCCCCATTCAGCACTGACCTTGTTCTGTCCTAGCTGGCCAGCCACAGCCTGCTGCTCTCACATCGCCTCCTCCTCTTCCTTGACCAGTCCCTACTCCTCCCAGGCCACCCCAGACCCACTCTGCAGACCACCTTGTGCAATGTCTCCTCCACCTGCCCCTCTCAACCCTTCCCGCTACTGACAGACACATCCCTGCTCTGGCGATCAGAGGCTGACATGTCCCGAGCCCCAGCCGGCAGTCCATCTGGCCACTGGATCAGCCATAGCCAGTGCCTCTGCCGACAGAAGCAGGGCTCCTCAGGCTGGCCCGCACACTTCTACATGCTGCTTCTGTGGGTGGTTTGAGAATCGTCTCTGGGTGTCCCTCCTGCACTTTGGCTAGTCCTTCCCAGTCTTAACCCCCCAGATGTTTGACTTTTGGCGTGGAGGCAGGGTAGCTTTCAGTATCACTTGAAAGTGCCTTACACAAAGGGCCGAGGAGATGCACAAACAAGGCCGAGTAAGAAGGAGCCACCTCATCCTAGGCGTTAGTGCCGGACAGGAGCAGAGGCCCAGGAGACAGTTTAAGGCCTAGATAGCCTTCTACATCTCAGGGTATGACGCTTATGCTGCTAAGGATCCTAGGGTGGTTTCTAGGAGTCCATACTAGTAATCTTCTTTCCCAACCTGCCCTACCCCTATCATGGTTGGCATTTTAAAAAACAAAACCAAACCTTAAAAAGACACATGTGAAAGCCAAACTGTTCTCAGTTGGTGAATATCAGCTTCAGGCGCTGCTGGATCCAGGGGCTTAAAATTATGTCATGGGAAACTGTGTCCCTCTCTACCCTGGCACTGCTGTCCTCTCAGTGACTTTAATCTGGGTGCATCTTCCCAGGTGCTGGTAATCCAGATTTCCTTTAAGTCTCCAGGCAATCCTGTAGAAAGTAAGTTGCTTCTTCCCAAGGTGATGGAAGCCTTGGAACTGACTCTCACAGTCCAGGTTTGGGGGATGGCCCCATACCTGGAATGGGGATGAGTTTGGAGTCAGAGGAAGAACATACCCCCAAAGGAAACTCTGGGTTGTTGTTACTTGGAGATAGAGACAGCCAACACACCATTCACAGCAGCCGTAACATGAGAACAAGGCCAGGACCCCAACTCTTAAACCCAAGGCCCCAACCCAGGCACTGAGTCAGGGAGTCAGCTGGTGCATATGAGTGGCCAGTGGCAAGGAGAGCTGCCACTCCAGAGTTTTGAAAATGGGTTCTATGGGGTGAGTCAAACATCGTAGTGGTCCACATATAAAGAAACTAAAGAAACTGCCCATCTCTCTAACTCCAAGTTCTGGGTGGGGGAGGAGGGTCTCAACATGCTCGCGTCTCCCACCCCGATAATAAGAAGAGTGAAACTTCTCTTCCCTTCTCCACCCTTTAGAGCCACTCTTTATCTTGCCTCCCTTTCCCAGCCAGACTTCTAGGGGAAAAAATTGCTTCACCTCCCACTTGCTTCTCCACACAGAGCGGTGTTCACAGGAAGAGCTCTCATGGCCACTGGGTCAGGATCCATAGTCCATGCCTGCCAGGCACTCCCAGGCCACCCTCCTCCCTGCTTTTCCTCCAGAAAGTCTTCCCCGTATGCCCCTGTCCCTGTCCCCCCACACACAGATGCAGACCCTGAGCTCACCTCTGCCACGGAGCCTATGAAACTACCATGTTTATCTGTTTTCTCACCTGTCTCCCTTCCAAATGTTGAGTTCACCAGGGGCAAGAGCTTTGTCCTCAACACCCAGTGAGGAGGCCCTGACTGGTGGTATTGGCGGGGGTGTGGAGAGGGGAGGCATGTGTCTGCCACTCCCTGTGCTTCCCCGACTTGTTGTCTCTGGGACCGTTCTTCAAGGACGCTGGCCCCTCACTGTGTCCATCTGCCACTCCCCACCAGCCTGCACTGATTTCTGAAACCAAATTTACGTGTGTGTGTGCAAGAAACAATTCTCCAAACCTACAGAGAAGTAGAAGGAACAGTCTGTGAGTTTTGTTATAATAAGGGTATATGGAATGCAAGACCCTGTGGCAGTTGGAGCCTGGAATGTGTTCTCTCCAAAAACAAGTATTTTCGTATTTGTCGCAAAACTCTAGATGGAGGCTATAACCTAAAGAATAATGCCAGAGTGGTAAGAGTGTTGATCTCGGTATGTTTAGGTTCAGGTTGTCCAGTCTTTGTAGCTGTGTGACTTTAGGCAGGTAACTTAACCTCTCCATGCCCCCATTTCCTCATCTGTGAAATTGGGAAAATAATGCTTTCCCTCGGAGAGTTGTTGGGAAGAGTAAATGGGTTAGAAGTATGTGTGGGGGCTAAATCTAAGAATGTGCCTCTTGAAGGTGGCTGGTAGGTTTTGGCTGAGGAAGGGATAAAGGAGCTGAGATTGTGAGTACTCTTACATTTCCCCTTCCCTCTTGTAGCCAGGAAATTTCAGTAGCAGGTAGAATTTCTTGAAGGGAAATGTTCAGTTCCAAGAGGTAGAGCCTTTTTTTTTCTAAGCCTTCCCTGGAGTCCTGTAACCCTCAACCGCTCACTCTACACAATCACCCTGGATATGAAATCCTGATGGAAGTCGCTCTAGTGGAAAGCAGCCCTTCCTGCTGCTTCTTAGTTTCTCTTGGCAGTTCCTAGAAGCGAGGAGTCGTGACCATGCATCTCCTTCATGAACTCCAGGACAGTCTGGTGGGGTGAGAGCAAGCAGGGGGACCATCGTGTCCTAGAGACAGGGAAGCAGAGGCCCAGCAGTCCCCAGATGCTGGTGGCCTGACCAGGACCAGGTCCAACAAGGTCCTGACCCAGCCTTGGGGCTCATGAATTGCGGGCTAACAGAAACCCCTTTTTGTTTTCAGCTCTCATCATCCAAAATTGGTATTAAATGTGGGTGTTTTATTTCTCGCCTTGGGAAGCAGAGAAGAGGGAAGGGGTGGAACTGATTTCACTGCTTGTGGACGAAGCAGGGTCTCAAAGCGATTGGAAGCATCTGGGGCATGGGCAGGGAGTAGGGGGGTGTCCAGCTGCACTTGGGGAGAAAGGGACTGGGAGCACCCAGGATGTCCTGGGAGTTTCATCGTTTGGGTGACAGAAGACTTGTTCTCAACCTGCTGTCGTCTGCGACCTTCTCCCAAATGCCAGAGTACATTTTAGTTCTTGTCATTCTTAAGTAACAAAATGAAACCAAAACAACAACAACAACAACAAAACAGAATTTCACTACAGAATGTTCTAGTCGTGAGAACAACATGACTCCAAACCTAGGCAAGGGGACATAAGAAAGTCACGGTCTGCACTCAGATAATCAATATACATCGTGTGTGGAAAACCAGATTTTTTACTCTGGCCAACCAGCAAAGTGTTGATTTTGTTTCTTCCAACACATTCTCTACCCAGTGGAGGGGTGAGCCAGCAGAGTGTGAACCCGAGAACCATGAAGCCCTGCCCTCGTGGCATCGTTCAAGCCCTACTGTCCCATCTGTGGTCAGCTCAGGTTCCCTAACTCTACCATTTAATAGAACAGCAACTGTTTTCTTGGAGGAGCCCCCACTTTATGACCGTGGGGCTCTCAAGTCCTTAAGAAAAGCTGGATTAGGCTGTCAAAAGCCCCACGTAGGTAACGGTTAAATGAATTGATGAATTTTGCTAAAGCAGCAAACCCATCTCTCTGGCCTTGGACACATTAAAATAGAATTCATCCATCAGGCCAAAGACCCTCTACCCTGGAAGTTTAGTAAAATGTGGTTGGGCTGTGCTTGTCTCCTCCATCCCCTGGCTTTCTGTCACACAGGGTCCTGCAAATCTTGAGCTCTTTGCCCTCTGTGAGCGAGACTTCTGTTCTCAGCATTCAGAAAGCCCATCTTCTATCACTGCAGACCCCCTCCTTTCTCCTGTAGAGGCGGAGAGGAAGATCTCCAACCCACCCCTCAGGACACCCAGATTCCCCTGAAAAGGCCAACTGACGCCCCCTGATTCCATGATGTTCCCTTTTCTTCCTAGCTCTGAAAGATACCAATAAGAGATCCATCAATAGCGATTGGAAGATAGAGCTCCCCGGAGAGTACCAGATTGCGGGCACAACCGTGCGCTACGTTAGAAGGGGTCTGTGGGAGAAGATTTCTGCCAAGGGACCAACCAAGATCCCACTGCATCTGATGGTAACTTGCTGTGCTCTTGCCTTTGTCCCAAGCCCAAGGCTCCAAGGGGTCTGCCAGTTCCCTTCCTCCCCGGGGATGCTGAGGAGAGGAGCTCCTGGTTCCTGGTGGGTTTCCTGCCACCTGCTGCTCAAGCCTCCCTCTCTCCTGGTCTTCTTTTATCTCATGCCTTTCACCACATGCCTGAGAATTTTCCCCTGACCAGACTTCGCCCTGAATCTTCACTGGCAGAGCTGCCATCTTTTTCAAAAGGAACAGCCTCCAGGAAAGAAATACTTGGCCGTGTGACAGCCAGGGAGAGTCTTGGCCCCACTCAGAGTCTCTGCTTTTATATCAGATGGCAGGGGTCCGCCCCACAGTTTGTGTATCCACACTGGAAACTACCTTTTGGAAATGAACTGTTTGACTCCGTTTCCAAACCAGCATCACTCAGATTTTCCAGACTCGGCTCTGCCCCAGGCATTTGGGCATCAGGAGAGGGAGAACCAGATTCCACAGGAAGATCAGCCCCTGGGGTGGTGTCATGGAACCTGGCAGTCAGGCCAGGTTGGGGCCACCTTGTCTTGCCCATTGTCTCAGGGCAGGGGGACCCCATGCAAATCACTTGAATATCAGTGATGCGTCCTTTTAAGAGTACTAAAGATCTCCAGAAAAAGGGATCCTATCATTTCCTTCTTACGGTCCAGGAGTTCCCATGACTCCCTTCTAATAGCTCATAATTATTGATTCCACATCTCGTTCCAAAGCACGGGTTCCGTGACCATTTGTGTGTCTATAACCAAAGCACATTTTGTCCTCTGTGCTTCCGGAGTCTCCGCTTGGAAATTCTTTTTTTTTTTTTTCCCCCTCCGTTAATTTGTCATCTCTGGCAACCTGCAGCCATTCAAGGTTAGGTGACACCTAGAGGAGTCACCAGCCACCTCTCAGGCAATCTCCTGAGGAGACTGGCTCTGCCCACGAGCACCCAGCGGCCGGACAGACCTGCCCATGCCGGCCCTGCCCTCCGGCCTACAATGAGAGAGCAAAGGGAACTGATCTTCATGCCTGGCTTCAGCCATCCAGAAACCTGTGTCTGCCACAGTCAGCCCACTAAATCCATGGCAGAGCTGGCTCCGCACGTCCCCAGCCCCCCGGGACCCATCCCCAGGCCACTGCCCTGTGATGAGATTCCATCCTAGTCTAAGGCATTGGAACAAATCCTCCTGTCCTGATTTAAAAGGGGTCCAAGAGGAAGCAGAAGATAAAAAAGATAAGACCCTGCAGCCATGTCCCCTGTTGGCTCGTGAATTGCTTTTCTCTAACAAATCCTAAGATTGGGGTGTATTTCCCTCTCTTGCCCAAAGCTTTCACAAACCACGAGGGAATCGTCCGCCCATGAAAGCAAACATACAGCCCAGATTCATTCAGACCGTGCCTCAGAAACTACATAAACTCAGCCCAAGTCCCAGCCCTCTCTAACATTAATCACTTTTCTTTCTTGAAATAAGATTCGTTCAGGTTTTTAAATCTAGAAATAAGAGGTGCCCCTCTGCCTCTACAGAGGCATCTGTTGTCCCCAAACTGGGGTGTGTACATGGCTTGCGGGGTCGGGAGCCCCCACAGAGTCACAGGGACCTGCATTTGAAACCAATTATACACTCGCGCAAATTATACATGGCTGCAAAATTGCATGAAATTGGTTTCATATGGATTCTTGATTCACCAGTCTTATTCCCATACTGAGATAATAAAGATCTTTTAAGGAGGGTTTTTTTGTTTTTTGTTTTTTGTTTTAAACTGGAGGCCTTTTTCCAAGTGTATCACTGCAAGCCTGTTTCTTGGAGAAGTGGATGTTTATGCGGTTCAGGCTGCCCTTAGCACCTCACCCCTACCCTGTAACTCAAGCCCTTCGAGGGCTGGGAGATTCTCAGGGGCAGCAGGGGTACCTCCCCAGGTCAAGGCAGGTGGAGCACACTCTTCCAGGCCTCAAAGTGAACTTGATCGCTGCCTTGACCCAGGAGTGCCCACAGGTTCCAAGTCTAGCCTGACAACCCATCACCTCCAGCCACACTCTGATAGGGCCAAACACAGGGCTGGCCCATCCATCTGCCCACTCGCCAGGATTTCAGACCCAAGCGCCCCAGGCTGCAGGATGGCTCCCCCACCCCCTCACTCTCAGCTTTAGGCCTTGAGCCACGCCCCTGCCACCCTGTGGGCATCTCCGTCCTAGCTCCCGTGGCGGCAAGAAGGCTCAGTCACCCCTGGACTCAAACGCAGAAGTCCCCAAGGTTCCTGTGTGGTGGGGCTGTGTTTGCCCTTGAGCCTGCCTTACATGCGGCAATGGCTGATGCTGGGGGACGGAAAACTGATGTCCATTTTCAAAGGACGAGAGTAGCCCTCCCCATTCAGACGTCTGTTTTAGGCCAACGCCACATATTTGTGTCTCTCTTGCCTGCGAGGGCAGCTTCGTGGCTGAGTATGTGGGAACAGGTTCTTCGTCTGCGTAGAGCAGCTCTCCCGGTGAGAACCCACAAATGTGCTCCTCCAAAGTCCTCATCGAAGCGGGTTCTCTCTCCAGCAGGAGAGAGCAGGGCTTCCTGCTGAGGGTCCACATACCCTACTGCCCCAGTTGAGTCTGAGGAACCTGAGTCCGAAATAAGGGAGCGCCCCTAGACCGAACCAGTCTTGAAACCCAGAAAAGACCTGCTTACTCCGGTAGAGAGAGCCGGACACAGTGTGGCGTCGTTCGCCAATTCTGCAAGCCTGTGGGCTTCTGCTCCATTTCAAAACGGCCTTTGATCTTTGCTGCTGATCCAGGTGCTGTTATTTCATGACCAAAATTATGGAATCCATTACGAGTACACCGTTCCTGTCAACTACACCGCAGAAAATCAGAGTGAACCCGAGAAACCCCAGGACTCTTTGTTCCTCTGGACCCACAGCGGCTGGGAAGGGTGCAGTGTGCAATGCGGAGGAGGTGAGCCACCGGGGTCATGGGCCTGTCGGGTTGGGTGTGGGGTCTCGCCGGAGGAGGGCGTGAACCCAGGGCACTCTGTGGCCAGCATGCAGGGTGTGGGAAAGGCTGGCCGTGTCACCTGTGTTTCCGCAGGAACTTATCCACGCCCCACTGCAGTTCTCTCTGCAAAACACTCACTCAGTCCTCCACACTCCTGCGCCCACACAGCTGCTCTGCCTGTGGTACAGGGCCCTCGACCTCTACCCTGAGTGGAGGTTTAGCCCCTGTACAGGTTTGTTGGGGGTATGACAGGTGAGTGACCTGGGGATGAACAGAATAGACCTCCACCTGTTACTGTTTGGTGGAGGGCCCCCAGATGTTTTGCCCCCAAATACTCTTTTCTCTTTGCCACAGGTACCCCACTATATGACACAGTAGAAAGAAAGGGCCCCACGAGTCCAGGGAGACATTCCAAGCATGCCCGCCATGTTTTAGCCAATGACTTACCCCCTCTATGCTAAAATTTCCTCGTCTCTAAAACAGAGGAATCCACCCCATGCCCACTGCAGGGATGAGACTGCCATGCTAAAAAATCAGTATCAGCAAACACACTGTATTCGTTACTGGGAGGTTTAGGGAGCGCCGGAGGAAGCCATTCACAACAATTAGCTAAAAGCCCTTTTGTATTTTGTCACCCTGACAGGACATATGGCCAGTTCTCGGGAGGTGAGACACAGAGTGGGTGGGTTTTGATGGGCACAGAGTTAGGATGGAAGGTTCACCTGGACTCTGGAATGCCAACCCAGAGAGTAACTTGGCCCCATCAATACCCATTCCTGCATGGTCGCTGACCACCTAGATGATGTTTGTCAGATATCCAGTATGTAGAGGATCGTTTTTGGTTTAAGGGACTTGTCCCATTTTTCTTGGGTAAGAATTACAGCTATAAAGTGATTGGGCCATCAGACACTGCTGGAGTCAGCTGTGAATTCCCTCCTTCTCCTGCACATCTTGGCTCACTGTCCTTGCTGCTTGTTCTCGGCCCGTTCCTCAGACATCCCTGGCAGTCAGCACAGCCCCAGGATCCTCCGTCAGCCCTGTCCTTGTCCCTGTCCCTCAGCTGTCCCCCTGTGCCCATGGCCCTCCAGCCTCCAAAGGCAGCACCTCCCTTTTCCTCCTGGACAACTTACAAACTAAGCATGTCCCAGACAGAGCAGTTAGCAGGCTCCCCTTGGCTGGGGGGCCGGGGAGTGCTGTTCTCCTTCTGTCACTGTCAGCCCAGCGGCATTCCTATGGGACACCAATGACTTCCAGATTGTCCAGTGACAACTGATGACTCACCATTGTCAGACCTGCAGTCAGAGTTGAACTGTGGCTTGAGGTAGCCCCGTGCTGCTTACGCTCATGCAAGGCTGCTGCTGCAGGCAGTCAGAGCTGATGGTATCGTTCAGGATTCTGCAGGAGGCAGATAGAGTGAGGAATCTGGGGTCCAAAGAGTTGTGCCTGACATCCTCTTATTCTTATATTGCTACACTCCCCAAATAATCATAAAAGCAGAAGGTAACTAACATGAGTACTAACCCTGACTGGGTTCTGTTCTAAACACTCTGTGTATCAGTTAATTTTAACTGTCTCTGAAGCACCCTAAGGCACAGGGAGGTTAAGTGGACCAGCCTGGTTGAGGAAACTGAGGCACAGAATCATGGCGGCTAGCTGTCGATCCTGTGATCATTATGCTGGTGATGGACCCAAGTTTGAGCCCAGACCACCTGGCTCTTGAAGCTACCCTCCTAGCTCCCATTCATCCTCCTCCCTGGCAAAGCCATGACCAAGCCATGTGTAGAATGCTTTGGGGAAACCCAGGGAATGGCTACCCCCATCTGGGGTAACCAGTTAATGACGTCCCCAAATGCAGGTGATGCTGAGGACATGTAGCCGTTGGCCAGCTAAACAAATTCTCAGACTAGCTCTAGACTGCCCACGTGGAGGAGACAGGTCTGTGTGTCCTTCAGACCAACCTCCCTGTTGTCACCGCTGTCCAGCAGTTCTGGAGGGATTCTCCAATAGGTAGCTATGATCTCTGGTAAGGACTAATGTACAAATGTGTAATCAAGACCAGACCTCTGTAGACTTTAAATATCAAAAGAACAGATAAAGAGATTGGCAATCTTGGTTGGAAATTAAAGTCCCAAATTAGAACTTTGGCCTCTGTGGATCCCGGGCTGTCCGAAAACATAGCTAATCTGTGGTGTCACCTTTTTCCAGTCCTGTTCTAGAATCTTCTTCCTGCCCCATACTGCCCCTGCCATGTCATACACACCCTCATCCCTAATATTATGGTTCTTTCTCTGACAACATGATAACATGTCACTTCACTGACAAACTGATCAAAAGATGCATCCAAATGCTGCTCTATCTGCATCCATGTATGGCCTTCCCAGGTGGGAGAGCCACAGTTGCTCAGTTCCCTGTGGTTTGGTTTCCAGGGGAACGCAGAACCATCGTGTCCTGCACACGGATTATTAATAAGACCACAACTCTGGTGAATGACAGTGACTGTCCTCAAGCAAGCCGTCCAGAGCCTCAGGTCCGAAGGTGCAACTCACATCCATGTCAGTCACGGTAAGGAGCTGTGTTCTCATACTTGGACCCTCCAGGGTCAGGGCAAAAACACCCAGCATGGGGGGCAGTGATAGACAGTTGATCCCACAGTACCTCTCTGCACCATGTACTGTTGTTGCTGCTCAGTGATTTTTGCTTGCTTGAAATACTGATTAGCTGGCTCTGAAGCCAGGGCTCTGAAAAAAATGTATAATCCTAGCTAGAAGGCGTTTTTTAGCACGACCCTAAGAACATCTCATGGAGAAAAAAATCATCACATACTCTCAGCTGATAACATGTTGGCTCCCCCAAGTTATTTTGTCTTAGGAGAAAAGGAAATCGCAGAGTGTGAGCACCCATGAGTGAGTCACACAGGTTAGTGTTTGTGATGGGTCTGTTTCGGCAGTTGAAACTAACACCAGTGAGTGTGGATCTTGGTGTTCGTTGTTTGGAATCTGTCAGAAGTTCTGATGGATTCCATGGCCATGATACTTCACGTGCTCTGAAGGCAGTTTTCTGGGGCTGTCAACTGAGATGAATTGTGTGAAATGTGCTTGTCAGTTAAGCTTTTATTTCTGGTCATTGCAGTGAGACGTTACATTGTACTGTGATTAGTAGAATGTGTAATAGCACCCCTGGCCTCCCATTCTGCTCTGGGTTGAGGTGTATGGCTTTTGCTTGGTGGTTCTGTGCATGTTTTTCTTCTGTAAAGAAGCTGGACTTTTGACGTGGCAGTTTTGTAAACTCAACTTGGGCTTCTTGCCTGGTGTGGAAGTTTCACAATGCATGTGGTTTTCGTGCCATCCCCCTTTGCCTTGTCAAACTGGTCAAGTGTGCAAGTGGGAGAGGGAAGATAGCAGGGAAAGCAAGAGGTGAGACTTATTTCGTTGGTGGTGTGTGGTCCTTAGCAAATCAAGAATGAAGGTGGATGGGAGGGTGGGTGAAGGGGATTAAGAGGTATGAACTTCCAGTTACAAAATAAGGAAGTCATGGAGATGAAAGAGACAGCATAGGGAATATAGTAAGATGGTGGCAGTGTTGTCTGCTGACAGATGATGCGTATACTTATGGGGAGCACTGAGTATGTATAAAATTATTGAATCATTATGTTGTACATGTAAAAGTAATATAATGCTGTATATTAATTATACTTCACTTTAAACAAAGAAAGACATCCTACCCTAACCCTGAAGGTCATGAGGAACAACTCACTTTGGGAAGTCTTCTCAAGCATCTGGCTATGAGCAACCACCCCACAGACTCCTCAGTTGATGAATGAATCAACCACACACACACCCAGGGGCAAAGAGGGAAGACCTTGCCACTGTGACAACCCAATGATCAGACAGGCCACAGGGACAGCTCAGCTCTGTGACATACTAGAAAGTAGGGTATATGAACCTAGAAGGGGGGGGTCGGCAGGGGCTCAAGGGCATGACTGAGCAAGAAAGATCTTAGGGAACCAGTCAATAATCATATTTTAAGATCATTTATGATTTCAAACTATTTTAGCGTCCAGAGATTTCTTAAATTATGCATATAAACCAAGTAACATAAAACATGAAATCAGAGTTGCTCTGGCTGAATTGAGACACATATGTGAAGAGGAAGAGTAGTCGAATGCATTCTGCCCTCCCTCATATCACCGCTGGCCCAAGGAATGGACCAAGGAATAAAGCTTACAAACTGTCAGGGACTGTCTGCTTTCCATAATGATGGGGATGCTTTTATTGGACCAACCCTCAATATTCTTCACAAGGGTACTCTTAACTGTGCTGATCACATACTGTATTTGGTAGCCACTAGCTAGTCCAAATTGAGATGTGCTATAAAAGTAAAAATATACACCTGATTTTGAAGATTTAGTATGGAACGAGATTATAAAATATCTTAGTAATTTTTAGTACATGTTGAAATAATTATGCCTTGGACACATTGGGTCAAATGTAATACATTATTACAATTAAATTCACTAGTATCTTTTTAAATTTTATTATGGTAGTAGGAAATTAAAATTACATAGATAGCTCATGTCTTAATTCTGTTGAATGGCACTGATGTAGATTAACAAAGCATTCAGAATACACTCCACAATTACCAGACATAGAAAAAAAAAACAGAAAAATGTAGTCCATACATTAATGGAAATGGACTCCAAGATGACACATATGTTGAGATTAGCAAACAAGAATTTCGAAGCAACTATTATGCTCAAAGACATAAGAAAAGATATAGTCACAATCAACAAACCCCTAGGAAATCTAAGCACAAAAAGAGACACTCTAAAAATGAACCAAACTTTAGGACCAAGAAACACAGTATCTGAAACTTAAAAAAAAAAAATAATCTCTTCGATGGGCCTAATAGCAGATGATGAAAAAAAGAACAGACTTGAAGGTGGAAGAATAGAAATTCTCCAGTCTGGAAAAACAGGAAGAAAAGATTGTTGACAATGACCAAGACTCAGTGATCTGTGGGATCTGTGGGATAACATCAGGCATACTGATATAAGTGTAATTATATTCTCAAGTGAGAGAAGAGGAAGAGGAGAAAAATAAAGCAGAAAATAATCAAGAGACAATGACCAAACCATGTTTAGTGAAAGACAGAAGATAGGTAATTATGTCACTTCTTGAGTATTTCCACTAGATTCCAGGTGAATTCAAAGCTCTATAACAAAGTCTCGCATCATCACACCAATAGGCTAAAGCAACACCTTTATGATTTTTGCCACACACAGATACTCCAGGAGGGGACTTCACTGTACTGTAAAACTACACAGAAAACCTTGTAGGAAAACACATACAAAGAAGTCACATCACGCAGCATGCATTAACAAAGGTATGCACCCTTTAAAACAGTGCTACAGAGCTGCTGTGAGCTTGGATGAAGTATATGGAGTGTGTATGTAGGGGGAGAAGGGGTAGGTGTGTCTCCAGATCACTCACAGAATATTCTGACAGACCACGGGCCTGCAGTCTTACCCTGGTTGAACACAGGTTTAAGCCAAACCCACTTTGGACTAAAAGTAAGTTCAGAAGCACATGCTTAGTATCTCCTTAGAATAAGGGTTAGCAAACTTTTTCTGTAAAGGCCTAGATAATAAGTATTTTTGTAGTTTTATAGGCCACATATGGTTTCTGATGTCTGGTTTTCTTTGTTTTGTTTATAACCCTTTTAAAGATGTAAAAACCATTTTTAACTCCTGGTTTGTACAAAAACAGTCTGCAGGCCAGACTCGGCCCAGACTTTGCCGGCCCTGCCTTAGATTATTACTTACCCTTGCCTTGCCCTCTGACATGTTGGAATCACAACCTCAATAACAAGCCCAAGCTCTGAAGGTACGACCTCGGGAAATACACTTTCTTGTTATACAAAGAAGGACATGTCATTATACTGGGTTACTCTGCAATGCCCAGTTGTTCAGTACTCTTTTTTAAAGCAGTCAGCATGACCCTGAGCCTTCAGTACAACATTGGGAATTTCCTTCATCCAACATGCACCTGTCAAGCACCTTCCCATTCACCAGGCCCTGTTTGAGGTACCAAGGTATTTCGAGGTGAGAAATACACACAAGGTCTTCACTGTCATGGAACTTGATAAATACTAACTTTCTCCCTCCCTCCCTTTCCGACCTACCTTTCTGGGTCAACTGTTTTTCCTTCCTGACCCACTTCCTTCCATTCCCTTCCTGACTCCATAAAATCACACAAATCAGATTTAAAGAATGAGTGGAATTTCCCAAGGCGGAAGAAAAAATGAAATTGATAGAAGATGGCACCTGAAATTTGTCTCAGAGCCTAGACAAGAAATGCTTCATTGCCTCTTCTAGTTTGGTTTCATTTTCTGGTTATTTAGTTGTTTATTTTGAACCATTTGACTTCATACTGTCTTGAAGAACCCATTTGAAAGAGCCCCACAAAAGAATGAAGTGTCATGGCTCATCAAAGAGTATTTATTGTTCGGCTGAAAGAAATGTGTGATCTGAGAGATTTTAAAACTCCTGCTAGTCTCAGTTGTATTTATTTATATTTAAACATGCAGAAGCACACACACATATATGTATATATACGCATATACACACAATATATATATGCGTATGTTATGTGAAGATACATACATGCATACATGTTTACACACACACACATTTGGACAATAAAACTTGAATTATTACAGTGTGTGATCTAGTTAACTTGAGTCTTTCTTCAAAACATCTAGTAATATGGACTTAGGCTGGTAGGTGAAGAAAAGTGGAGATTGGCTTAGAAAATTACTGCTAAATAATCAGATTTCTTCTATAAGTAAAGAACTGAACTTTGATAAAAGGGGTGGGTGTGGAGATGTGAAGGGTCTGGAGGAAAAATGTCTGTTTCAGGTGGGGTGGGCATGCCTGGAAGACATAGCCTGGAAGCTGGAAGGAGAGCCCGAGAACTCAATGGTGTAAATTTTATTGAAGAAGCCAAAATGCAACTCTCTGTTGAATCTGGCAAGGCGAAAGAGCCTTTCTATATTATTGTTACTCTTTGACCTTTAAAACAACAGCGATGTTTGTCTTTTCCCTTATATTTTTCTTTATTTCTCCTGATCTCCCTTTAATTTTCTTCAACCCTCTTTTTCCATCAAGTTCCCGACAGTTTCCCTTACCTTCCCAATGGCACACCGTTAGCACCTCTTTATTCTAATCCTGCCCCTAGCTCTGTGGATACTTCTCCCAAACCCTGCCATAACCATATGGAATCTGGAATCTGACACACAAGGCAGATGGCCTCTCTCCAGCATTTTGCACACCAATACAAACACATCGGCAAACCTGGCCCCCGACATTGGCAGGAAAGGCAGAAATCACAGATCCGCTCAGCTGTTATGACTGTGGCCAGCAGTCTTCACCTTGCTGACCACAGTCTGCAGGGAAGAGGCCCCACCATCATTTGGCATCCAAAGAGTAACGCTGCGTGCCAGGTCCTTCAGACTCAGGCCCCGATAGTGCTGGAGCAACGAGGGTGGGGTATGACAGGGAGATG